CTCTCTTTCTCTCTCTCTCTCTCTTTCTCTCTCTCTCTCTCTTCCTTCCTGCTGCTTATGGATCAGGATGTAAAGCTCTCAGCAACTGTCCAGCACCATCCCTGTCTACATCCTACTATGAGGACCACAGACTAACCCCCAGAAACTGTAGGCAAGTCCCCAATTAAATGCTTTCTTTCGTAAGAGCTGTCTTGGTTATGGTGTAACTTCACAGCCCTAGACCAGCAACTAGGACAGATGAAGGAAATGGCAATGTCTGTGGAAAGAGCTGAGAGGCGTAACCACTCACCATTCCTCCTCCCTCACACACACACTGGAAGTCTTACTCAGTTCTTCGGATTTCAGCTCACGGCTTCACAGATCCTGGTTCACCAGGAAGAACGCTCCCATGTGGAACCCAATGAAATCACTTCTTTTTTGCTGTTGTTGTTAAGATCTTTATTTTTTACTTTTGCGTGTCTACATGTCTGTCTGTACATTTGAATTTGTACACAGGTGTAGCACCTACAGAGCCCAAAGGGAGTGTTGGATCCGCTGGTGCCACAGTTGCAGGCAGCTTCCATAACGGTGGGCACCAGACCTGAACTCGGGGCCTCTGCAAAAGCAGAACGCGCTCCCAACAGCTGGGTCATCTCTCCAGCACCTTAGAATCACCTCTTAACCTTTGGATAAGGTCATGTATGGAACACAAAGGATGTCCCATTAAGTACAGGGCTGTGACTACTGCCTGGCCACTTTGAGGGCCTCAGGAAAGAATGTAGATTAGGACCAAAGATCACCATAGTGACAAGCAGAATGAATCCCAGTCCTCGGGATTGAGTCCAAGAGATTGAGATTGTGGTTTTCATCATGAAGGAAGAAATATGTGGCACCCAGTCACCTACGGAGGTATCTTCTGATGCTGTATGGTCTAGTCTGAACTGCAAATGGACAGGTTCATGGACAGTGGCCGAGGAAGGAAATAGTGGCCAGGTTGCAGATCCCTTAGGGCTGAAGGTCAGGGTCAACTTCCCAGGGGAGGCGACAGAGGAGAGGCCAGCCACGACGACGGGAGCTAGGGTATCAGTTGCGGTGGCACACGCCGGTAGGATTTGCTGAACTAGGAGGAGGTAGGAGGATTACGAGTTCGAGGCCAGCCTGGGAGCTAGGGTTTGTTCTGGTAACGTCTCAGGAAGATTCCCTAGGGATAAAGAGCCTGGAGCCACAAAACAGATCATCCTGCATGGATTGATCTTCTTGAGAGAAGGAGCAGATCTGAGGCTCCTAGGGGTGGGCCGGTCGAACACTGCGGCGCATGCGCGGGATCACCAGGCCAGCGCATGCCTGGAGCAGCTTCACACTACCCTGCTTTCGGGGCTGCTAAGAGATCAGAGCTCCTTCCTTCTAAAACTGCCCCCAGGGAAGTGACCTGGACTCCTGCTGAGGCAGCCCACAGGCCCTGACTGACTTACACAATGATACACCAGGCTGAGCCCTCGGTGCTGTCCTCATGGGAGGACAGAAAAGAAGGTGACCACAGTTGATAATAACTTGTTATCTATCTTACAAAGTACTAGAGGAGTTCTCCTAATGCAAAGAACACTGGATGCTTAAAGAGTTGGGAATGCTAATTATCTTGCTATGAAAATTACATTGTAAATGTCTGTGAATATGCACAATTATTATGTGTCAATTAAATGTACGATGGCAAAAAAGAAAAAAAGAATTTGGTCATAGAACTTCAGGTTTGAAGCCCAAGCTGCACTACCTTTAAGCTGTGTGCCCTCAGACAGCTTACTCAACCTCTCTGTGCTTTGATTTCTTCACCTATAAAATTGCAAAGGTCGTAGTCTCCTCTTTATGGTTTTTAAATAGTATTAAATAAATTACAGCATCTGGAATATGCTATGCACTTGCCATAATCATTGTATGTTTACAGATGAACAATCGTGCCCTCACTGTCACTGAAAGCTGAACAAATTTGTTTGGTAATTTCGGGACACGCGTTCCTTGTTCCGTGGCAAGGCTTCACTATAAGAGCGGGCATCTTGGTTCACTCCCCACTTCTGAACTATCATTGTGCCATCGGCTGAGCAATTGTTCAGCCGCTTCTTCTCCAGGAAGGACTGATGATGCCCTGCCTGTAATCAACCCCATGCGTGAACTCTCAAAGGCTTCCCTGCCTGGCGGCCACGCCCCTAGCCAGGAGGAGCAGTCCATGATTAAAAAAAAAAAACCACATCCCAAGAACTCTCAGTCTTAAATAGCTTAGGAAAGACTGAGCCTGTAACTCCTTTCCCCCGTGGAGTGAACAGCAGGCTCTTCCTTCTCCATGCCCTCGCACGCAGAAAGCAGCCCACACCGTGTTTAATTGCTAAGCTTGGAGGATAGCACCCGGTTTTATGCGAGAAGTCAACAAGGAAAGGGGGAAATGTCCCCCGGATGCCGGACTCTCGGCAGAACACTTTGCATATAATCATCTTACAGAGTTGTGGCAGAGCTGGTCTGGGTAATTCTGACGCAGAGATCGCGAATGCTGAGGGCCCCCTAGATTGCTGGTCAAGTATGATTATTATCAAGTATTATTATTTTTATCTTTCCTGCTTTTCCCTCCCAGCAATTGCTACCGAAAACCCGCTGATGAACACTCTGAACCTTGGGGTTTGGTTTGTCTATTCTAAAGCCATCCATATTACGTCAGCAATGACCCTGTCCCGCATACGTCTAGGCACTCTCCACCTAGCCTTGTGCTGGCTGTTCCAGGGTACCAGTCTCTAGATCAACAGTTCTCAACCTGTGGGCCGTGACCCTTTGGGGGGGGTCGCATATCAGATATTTACATTATGACTCATAGCAGTAAGCAAATAACAGTTATAAAGCAACAACAAAAGTAATTTTATGTTTGGAGGTCACCACAACATGAGGAACTACACTAAAGGGTCACAGCGTTAGGAAGGACGCCGTTGAGAACCACTGCTCCAGGCACTGGCCAAAGAGTCTCGGGTGCACAGTTCCTTTTCAAGTTAAGGCTGTGTAACTTGGGAGTTACTACCTCAGTTCTGAACCTGAGCCAGCCGACTGCTACACAGAGTTCTCCCCACTCTGTGCATCGTCCAGCCAAAGGGTAGAAACAGCTTTTAGGATAGACTTTTCCAGCCAGGCGGTGGTGGCGCACACCTTTAATTCCAGTACTCGGGAGGCAGAGGCAGGCGGATCTTTGTGAGTTCGAGGCCAGCCTGGTCTACAAGAGCTAGTACCAGAACAGGCTCCAAAGTCACAGAGAAACCCTGTCTCGAAAAACCAAAAAAAAAAAAAAAAAAGAATAGACATTTCCTATTTCCAAATAAATGATAAATTTTCAAAAACAAAGCAATCAATTGAAAGTTGCTTCAGATTAAATATGCTTATAATAAGATGAGAAACAAACACCCTTTCTTCTTATTGATGACATCCAATGTAGGATTTCAAAATCTGACCCTACGTCACTCATGGGACAAATGGAACCATGGAAGGAATGAGCTGATAACAGCTTAAGTGGGGTTCAAAGGTACCATTTTTGATGACTAAGTACTTGTCAAGTCTTCACAAACTCAGTAGAGGGTGTGGCTCCAGTGGTGGCCCTGGCCCAACGCCAGGGTTTTCATTCCTGACATTGCCAGATTTCTTTGTTATCCCTTGGATAAGCCCAGACACCGTGTAATGCGTCATGTGTAATGTGTGATGTGTAACGGCTTCCTTTTCACATTTATAATCAAGTGACTACCACCCCAATAAGATGTACCTGGAGAGAGAGCAAGCAAGGGGATGAAACACTCATTTAGAAAATATGATAATCATTTTGCATGTTTGGCTGGTTTCCGAGCTATCACGGAGATGCATTTCCATCTGTGCATAATGGCCCGGCACCGCAGAGGGAAGCCTTTCTGTTTTTAGTTACTAAAGCAAGAAAGCAGCTAACTCCATTCTCTTCTGGGATGAACCCTGATCCGGAGTGACAAACTCAGCACTAAGAGGAACATATGGTATAACGTACGAGAGGGGGAAGAATGTGAGACCTCACCCAGGTTACCTAGATGCGATCTTTTTAAGCACTAAAGCTCTGACATTTATGTTCAAGGAAGAAGCCAAATCACATTTTTCACACTAGGGTTAGAAGTAATTATTCAAACACACAAAATGTATATCAAGGCTATTATTCCCATTTCCTATATCAGGAAATAAAATAAATTACTGCACACACAAGGACTACTGATTAACTCATCCACAAAACCTGAGAAGACTTTCCCTGTTGTCTAAAGCCTGGACAAATTAAAATGTGACACCAGTCCTATCATACACAGCAAACCCTCCTGTTACTAGGAGTACAACTTACATTAAAATATTTATTGGGGACACAGACTAAAACCTCTTTGAATTCACTGACAGTCTTTGAATTTTCCCGCTGCCCCTACCTACGGTCTTCTGCCTAATGTTTTAAGTTACTGTCTCAACCCCTCTCCTTTTTGAGAATGCCATAAAGAGCCATTTTGCAGACTCTGTATTATGTATTTTGTGTTTAAGCCTAGAAGAAAGAGAAACATTACTGAAAGTATTTAACTACAATAGTGAACATCTCAAGTTATCTCAGCTCCAGGCAAACTCTATCGTTACTACTGAATTAACATGAAATACTGCCTCCAAAATTTCTGTTTGGTTCAATGACAAGCACATCGTGTATAATACCACCAGCTGTGAGTGTCAGTCTTAACAGACACACAGAGTGCAGTTAAACAGAACCTTTCCCTAACTTAACACTAGCACCCGCATCCTGGTGTTGGGGATTGAACCCCAGGACTTGTGCATGCTAGGCAAGACCTGGGGCTTTTCGATGCATCTTTTTGTCTCCAAGCACAAACTTGGCTCTAGAAGAAACTCCAGAAACCATCTAACGTGACCCCCCCCCCTTACCACTAAAATGTGGTTTTATCAACACGATTCAAAATATGTCAGACATAACCGTCAAGTTTGAGTTTAGGGTTTACCTTTGTAAGATCCCCAACGAATCTCCCACGGCATTCTTCACTCCTTCCTTCCCAGGTTTCAGAATTTTTTCTTTGAAGGTATCAAATGCTTTAAACGGCATTTTGAATGGTGGGGCGGGGGGCACCTCTGAGCCCTTAGCAGGCAGCCTCAGGAGCTCTTGTCCTTTCTCATCTCCAGCTTGGGGACACTGTGCTTGCCCTTGAGGAACACCCGAAATTCAGTTCTCATGGGGCGGAGAAAATACTTCAAAAATCAAAAATAAGGCGAAGGCCAGTCCAGGTGTTCCGAGAAGAGAAAACCCTCTCTTCTTGCTCCAGAATAAACAAGGCTGAGGGGATGCTGGTCAGGAATCCCGCCCCTTGCACCAGCTACAGGCTGAACAGCAGGCAGCCTGTGGCCGCTGTCTCGGGCAGCCACGCTCAGACTGAGCACAGCCCGTCTCTCTGGCTGCGGCTGGAGAAGTTAAAGTGTGCTCCAGTGCGCAGGGGGTCCTGAGAGCAGCAGCAGCAGCAGCGTTGAAGGCCAGCTCCAGCCCCTCCTGCCTCCTTCAGCTGGCCGGTGGTGCTGCCAGCTTCCTCTCCGGGGTGATGCTACAGCACCTGCCTCTCTGCAGCCTGGGCTTATTAATGGGCTCCCAGCCAGGGCAGAAGCCCAGAGGGAAGTTTATGAAACATTTACAAGCCCTCTCCTTTCCTGAGGTCCAGCCCCATGCACGGGCTCTCGGCCACCGCTTCGTGCCCTTTATTCCCTTCAGAGTAGCAGGGAGGCAGTTTTTCAGCGGGGCACAAACCTGGATGTTGTGCACTTTAGGTTGAACGCATACTCCAGGCGACCGCATCCAGGAGGGATGACACACTGGCGCCTTTAGGACTAAGCAAGGGCACCTGAGCTTGTCCTACCACCTGCGCGGCACCCGAAACTTCTCCAGGGACGCCGCCCCTTGTTTCCTTTCCCTCTGCTTTCCACAGCAACGCTAGCTCGAACTCAGCAAGCTCCCTGTTGCTTCTGGGAGTTTTCTCAAGAGATACTCCTTGCCTGGCTAGTCTTCCTTGCCCCTTCATCCACACAGCTTCCGGGGGCTCCGGTCTCACGAAGGCATCACTTCAAAGCCTTTAGACTGGGTGAGATGGCCCTCTTCCATGCCACCAAATTGCCTGGGCCTGGATGATAATGACTGTGACCTAGGCACCTGCTGGACCTTTGTGGAAACAGCCAGCTGCTTCCACCACGTTACAGGCTTCAAGATGATGTCTCCATGACTAATGCTGCCTTGAGGAGACAGCCTTGTCTTGGAAGCCTGAGACTCCAAGCCCAAGACTGCTGTGAGATATCCTGTTCATATCTAGACCCTCAGGATCCCAGGAACTATTTCCACAAGGCTAGATGTGTTCTCTATACAGAGCAATTCAAACCCTTCTCCAGATCTGAACTGAGTTAAGTTAGCACTGGGTCTTAGTAGGCTCAGTAGAATTAGCGCCTACCAAGCTCTTCCTGTAGTCAAGGCTGTGCTACACACTCTCTCCGCACACCATAGCCATCGCCCTACTGCGGCTTTATGTTTAGTGACTTCTTTTTCCCAATTTTAGTGACTGGAAACCGAGGCAAGAAGTTAGCTGTGCCTGAGATCACACAGCTGTTTATTAGCATCTCCAAAGAACATTGTTGCTTTCTTCCCAAGTGGACAGAACGATGAGGCTTTGTCCAATTTACCAACATGCACGATCATCCCCATGAAGCCATTTTAGAATATTTCTATTACCTGCTTAGATCCCACATACTCACCGTTAATCGTCACACATACCCCTTTCTGGTCCTTGGCAGCCACACATGTACTGCTTCTATAGACTGGCCTTTTCTGACCATTTCCTATTAAGAGAATCATGTGTAGTTTGGTCTCTTGTGGTTCACTTCTTTCAGTATGAGAGATATCCAACTCATAGCATGTATCAGTTCCTTTTCACTACTACTGACATCTTATTGTGTGAATACACTGCATATGTCAGTGGCATGTCATTGTGTGGATGCACTACATATGTCAGTAGTATGTCATTATGTGGATGCACTGCATATGTCAATAGCATGTCATTGTGTGGATGCACTACATATGTCACTGACATCTCATTGTGTGGATACACTGCATATGTCAGTGGCATGTCATTGTATGGATGCACTACATATGTCAGTGGCATGTCATTGTATGGATACACTGCATATGTCACTGACATCTCATTGTGTGAATACACTGCATATGTCAGTGGCATGTCACTGTGTGGATGCACTGCATATGTCAGTGACATGTCATTGTGTGGATACACTGCACATATGTCAGTAGCATGTCATTGTGTGGATACACTGCA